GTATTGATATTCTTTTAGCTAGACAACAATCCAATCCGCTTTGATGACCATCTTGACCTCACTTCAACTAGTCTTCGATTTTGTGGAAGGTTTTTTGTTTTTTGATCAATACAGATAGTTCCAAGATTTTTACAACGAAAAATCTTATCTATCTATTCCAAAATATAAGCTATAAATCAGATTCTAGCTTTGATTATTTATGAAGCATGAGAATTCAGACGATTCTTGTATATTTAGAGTTTGTGGGTTTATGAGAATTAACACTGAATGACCTGTTAATAGATCAATTTGATGAAAAATTATCAAATATGAGATTTGATCCCATCATACTACATAAGCTACAAATCCGAAAGTGATTGAGATATGAAACCTTGTATTAGTAAATCCTTTTGTAATGCTAGGTTTGGATGTCAGTACTATTTGTTAGATCAGATACATGTTGTATATTGGATATAATAATTACAAGACAAATATTAAGAATTTTCTTCTAAGTGTTGGATTGGATGCTATTTGTATTATTTACAAATCTGATGCTTGAGAACAATATACAGGGGACCCTCTTTTGAGAACCCGAGAAATTGTAATAACCTTGAGAACTAGTGCATCACGTGATAATTGATATGATTTTTTTCCCTTCATCCAATGCTATAATTTAGAGTATAGATTAACATGTCTTTCTTCAACATAAAACCATATTATGACGACATAGATAAATGATAAGACGAAACATTGAAGTCGAGATGCATACAGAGTACCCTTTTAGTGTATTTATACTATATTATAAAAAAATTGACAAAAACTCTTAAAAACCATTTTATGCATAAATTACTGTTTATTGATGCATATTACTTAAAATTCAAAATTACAAGTAATTTTGCATACATACAAATTATTAAAGCTCCATGTTTGAATTCGTATAACTAACTACGAATAAATATAATTAAATAGAGGATAAACATCTTATTTTAAAATATAAAAATTTAAAATATAATTAAGATAATTATCGA